TGTGTGTGTGTGTGTGTGTGTGTGTGTGTGTGTGTGTGTGTGTGTGTAAAAATGAAGCGGGTGTTGGGGAGTGGATGAGGATTAGGTCGTGGTGAGTTTGGACGACAGCCAGCGTAAGGTTAACCAGAACCCATGACCCAGGAATATGGTCTCCAGCTGGAATTCCCCGAGTCCAGGTACTTTGGGAATTCAAATTTCAGGTCTTCTAATTTAGAGGACTTTTAAAGTTTGAGTCTCTCTTGCCAGCACTGTGCTTCTTACTAATTTTTGCTCCTTCCTTGGACACATGTTTTCTGTTTTCATGAAGTCCCTCTCTTGTGGCAGTTGTTTTTATTGTGACAGATTTTAGGCCAATAAAAAAGAATGGAAAAAAATGGGAACACCCACGGAACACCATGTTACCACCCAGCATAAGAAATAAGTTACAAATGGGGTGGGAAATGGGTTTGGAAAGCTAGGTTGGACTTAAGGAGTTGCAGCGGACACTGGAAGTCATACTTTCTGCCTCAGCAGGAGGTGGAACAGTCTTTTTCCACACTCTGTGCTCACTCCTGATTTTACAAGGTCGCATACCCGCCTGATCTCACCTGGCCCCCAACCCCAGGATGGACCTGTGTCTAAATGAAGGGGCACCTGAAGCTGGCAGCCCATGTGGTTTATTGGAATCGTCACCTTCTGGCTCTGTGCATTTTCTGCTGTCTCTGTGAGCCTGTTCTAAGTTCTAAGAAATGTGTGTTGCACCTCTGAAAGACACTTCCACTGTCAGATTTCTAAATCCATCACCAAAGTTATTTTTCTTCCTCTTCTGAATTGGGGTTAATGCAAGAGTTATGACAATTTCCTGTCTTTTTTGTATGCCCAGTTCTGCAGAGTTGATATTTAACAAAATCACTAGTAAAAAACTTGGAGAGAGAAACGGAAATATATCACACTGGAATGTGGTCTTTTGTTTTGTTTCTTCTTTTTCTTTTTTAAACTTGTACTTTTCTGCAGGGACAAGAACTGCACAGCCATCTGGGAAGCCTTTAAACTGGTGCTGGATAAGGATCCCTGTTCTGTGCTTCCCTCAGATTACGACCTTTTTATTAACCTCTCCAGGCACTCCATTCCCAGAGATAAGGTAACTCTACCTTCGCCTCGGTAAAACGTTGCTCTGTCTCTATAGAGACAGTGTCCAGGCCAAGCAGCCAACTCAAAATGTGCGCCAGGCTCTCTGGTGGGAAAGTGGCTCTGTCTTCAACGGTGCTCCTGGGTCTCCTGCCTGTCCTGGGCAGAAGGAACTTTCCTAAGTCAAGAAGTCAGTGCAAAAACCACAAGAACATCAGGGCGTCACCACACCTTTCCCACGGGGCCTCTGCACCTGGCTAGTTCTGAACAATCTCCATCCTAACTGGCTCGAAGGGCCTGAACCTTGAGTACTTCAGAAAACCCTCTATGTCAGTATCCTCCCGGGAGACCAATCCCTCCTCTTAACAGGTTTTAAGATTATATCCATTCAGGACCAGTTTCTTGAAGAAACTGGTTAACATATAATCATGTGGTTTACATGTCTGTATTCTGTCTGCACTCTAAGCACTAATACAGTGAAAGTAAATGAGAACATCTATGTAAATTGCTTATTTAGAACAGTATCTTGAGTTTAAAGAAAGTTAGATATCATTTTTATTTCTCTGACATAAATTTTTTCTTAATGAAGGACATATTTTTGACATAAATTTTTTTTAAACATCTTTATTGGAGTATAATTGCCTTACAATGGTGTGTTAGTTTCTGCTTTATAACAAAGTGAATCAGCTATACATATACATACATCACCATATCCCCTCCCTCTTGCGTCTCCCTCCCACCCTCCCTATCCCACCCCTCTAGGTGATCACAAAGCACTGAGCTGATCTCTCTGTGCTATGTGGCTGCTTCCCACTAGCTATCTATTTTACATTAGGTAGTGTATATATGTTCATGCCACTCTTTCACTTCATCCCAGCTTACCCTTCCCCCTCTCTGTGTCCTCAAGTCCATTCACTACGTCTGCGTCTTTATTCCTGTCCTGCCCCTAGGTTCTTCAGAACCATTTTTTTTTTTTTAGATTCCATATATATGTGTTAGTGTACGGTATTTGTTTTTCTCTTTCTGACTTCACTCTGTATGACAGACTCTAGGTTGATTCACCTCACTACAAATAACTCAATTCCGATTCTTTTTATGGCTGAGTAATAGTCCATTGTATATATGTGTCACATCTTCTTTATCCATTCATCTGTTGATGGACACTTAGGTTGCTTCCGTGTCCTGGCTATTGTAAATAGGTTGACACAAATCCTTAACTTGATTTTTTTCATTGTAAAGCCATGTAACATTGATGTTTACAAATGAAAACATCTTAACATTGATTTTTTTCATTTGTAAAGGCAGGTAAATGGAGTTGGGAGGTTCAAACACATAATAGGCTGAAAACATGATTTTTGAGTATATGTTGCCTTTGAACCTTGCAGCCTCTTGGTCAGTAAAAAGGGGAGCTGTTATTTTTGTTCTCCTTCCTCATGGACTTTGGTTGATAAACTCAGTAAATACTGAGCTAATTCCATGTACCAGGTGTTGTTCTCAGAGTTTCAGATGCAACAGGGAACAAAACAGCCTCTGCCCTCGGGAAGCATCCAGTCTAGACAGAGATTGCTGGTTGGAATACTGAGGATCTGATGGCATGATGAGGGGATATTGTTATTTGTATTATTATTATGTGAAAACATTGTAACTTCATAGTAATGTATTTTTGAGGCACTTTACCCTTTAGGAATTCAATTTGTGATTGCATATCATCCTAACCACAGCTCTGGGAGAAGAGGAAGTGTTCATACTCCCCATTTTCCACATGTGGAAACTGAGGCACAGGGAGATTACATGGCTTGTTCAAGATCACACATTTAGTATGTGACAGACCCAAAATTTGAACACAGGTCCCTTGATTTAAAAAAAAAATCGATCTATAATTTTTTAACTACTAGAAAAAATATATATGTATGTATGTATCTATATTTTTTCTCTGCTGGGAAAATATTTCATTAACATTTGCATGATACCCTTGGAATAAAGAAAAGAGAGCTGGTAGCACTCTCTGAATGGGTAACTAAAGACAAAAACAAAGAAGGTTCAGTTGTTGTGAGGCAAGTCCCAGGTGAATGAGAAATGGTTGGCCTGACTTGTCTTGATGATACTGTGCCTGAAGAAATCTGTTTTGATTTCATTTTGTGTTGGTTTTTCCTTAGTCCCTATTCTGGGAAAACAACCACCTCCTTGTCACCAGCTATGCGGAGAACGGCCGCCGCTTTATGCCACTGTGCAATGTTCTGTATGGCATGGTCGGAGATTTCTTGAGCTGGTGTCGACAGAAAAATGCCTCTGGTAAGACTTCTGCACAAATCACAAGAAAAGTCAGGGTTCCTATTTACTATGCATATGCCATTTGTGCTAAGTCCTTTCATATGCATTTTTATCTCTTTGGATTCCGCCCCCCTCAAATCCTCTCAGGTAAAGTGGTCATAATAATAATTAAATAATAACAATGATAATAGAGGAAGAGAATCTATCTTTTGCTAGGTACTGTTCTAAGCACTTTATGGGTATTAACTCATTTAATCCCTGCAACAGCCCCATGGGATAGGTCCTATCCTGATTCCTATTTTGACAAACGAGAAAAGTGAGGCACAGCAAGACTGAGAAACTTCCTTAGGATTGCACAGTGCGTAAACAGCAAAGTCAGAGTCTGACTCAGAGTCCTGCATGACTCTGCCTCACTATCCCCATTTTCCAGAGGCGGAAACTGAGGCTTTGGGAGGTTAAATGACTTGAAGTACTAGGGCCAGGATTCTCCCCTCTTCTCACTGATTCTGAAGCTGCTCCAGGCCACCAGCAGATATTTTGAGATTCAAATTATTGACTTAAAAAAAAAAAAAAAGCACAACGTGAAAGCTGAGAGTTAAGCTTTATTTAGGGCAAAATGAGGACTATAGCCCATTAGACAGATAGCTCTGAGAAACTGCTCCAAAGAGGTAGGGGGGAAGGGTCACTGTTATGTACGATTTTAATGAAGGGGGTGGGTGTGTGGAGTCAGGCACACATTTTGGCAGAGACCTGCTGCTAGTCACAAGGAACAGATGTCACCGTTAATAATTTTAGTACTTTCCTAGATATGAGGAGATGCAAGACTTGGGCTCATAAAATCTTCTCCTGAAACTATTTAACTATCTAAAGACCTGTTATGCCAGCTTTTCCCACAGCACAGAGTGGCTCATTCCTGATCACCCTGAACTCCTTTCAGGGGGTGTTGAAGGTCAGCGGCTGCAGCGGCTCATGATTTAATACTTGTAGAGGTAGATGGCAAGTGGCAATTTTGTAGTTGGCAAAATCACAGTGAAAGTTAAAGTCACAGGGGCTGGCCTGATGGTAAGGAAAACGCTCTTCATTCATCAACTCCCACGCTAGGAGCTGGTGATGCAGCGGTCTCTGCCCTCAGGAAACATGTAGTTTTGTGAGTGCAGAGAGGTGTGCTCTGAGGCGGGAATGACCCAGAGCTAGGGAGTAGCAGAGGGAGACACCGGCATAGACCAGAGCCTCAGGAAGCTTCCTGGCGGCTCCATTCATTCCCCCATCTATAAAGTTTGTAGAGTGCCTCCTCCGTGCCAGTCCTTGCTCTTCTAGGCACTGGGAACACAGCAGAGAATAAACCAGGAAAGTAATACCTCATCCTTACTTTATAGGGGCAGGGGTGGAGGTAAGACCATCAACAGGCAAGTAAAAACATGTACGTATAGTTCGCCTTAAGATTATAAAGGTTACAGAGCAAAACAAAGCAGGGAAAAGAGGGTAGGGAGTGCTGGCTGGTAAGGAGGGGAGAGGGAAGCATTGCAGTTTTACACAGGCCCGGCGAAGGCCTCACTGAGAAGCTGATGTTTGAGCAAAGACCTAAAGGACTTGAGGAAGAGCATTTCCTGACAGAGGGAACAGCACATGCAAAGGCCTTGAGGTGGGAGCGTGTATGGCATATTTAAGGCACAGAAAGGCAGGCAGTAAGTGAAGAGGCAAGTAGTAGACTGTGAGGCTAGAGGAATAAAGGAGGGCCAGACAGCACAGGACATCGTGAGGATGCGGACTTCCACTTTGCGTGAGACGGGAAGCATGGCAGGGTGCAGATCAAATGGACATGGCCATTCTTCCAGTGGACTGTGACCAGGAAGCCTCATTTTGATGATCCTACAGAGGGTGAGGGAGCATGGAGGAGGGGTGAGATGGAAAGATCATGAAGGGAAAGAGACGGTGGTATACTACAAATTAATAGCTGGTCTTGGACCCCCTGGTTCCTGGCGCACAGCTCCTGAAGCCCTTGGGCTCTGAGGAGTGATGAGTGTCTTTTGTATGGTAATGGGATGACTGGTGGTTGGGAGCCCCTAGATAGCTTCAGATGCGGGCTGGTCACCAAAAAGATAGAGGCATCATTAGAGAGTTGGGACTTTCAGCCCCATCCTCTGTCCTCTGGGAAGGGGCGGGGGACTGGAGATTGAGTTAATCACCAATGGTTTAATCAATCTACTAATGGTTAATCAGTCTACTTAATGAAATTTCCATAAAAAACCCTCTCTGATGGGGTTTGGGGAGCCTCCAAGTTGGTGAGCACATCGAGATGCTGGTGCTCCCAGAGGGAGCAAGGACGCTCCGTGTGTTTCCCTTCAAGAAGTTCACATTTTGCCCTGCTTTGTTCTCCCTGGAACGAATTGTCAATTAGCACTTTCTCCTTTTGTTATAGAGTAAATGGGGAACAAATCCCATTATATATCTGCTGAATTTTGTCTTTAAAATTTTTTTTAATGTAATACATTTTAACATTTTCTATATTTTAAATGTTATAAAATTTCTATTTTCTGATTAAGGACTGTTACTTTCTTGGTCTATTTTTCTTGTATTTACTTCTAAGACCTGGGTTAATTGGAGAAGGCATTTCTCCCAACAATGCAAAAAAAAGTTATATATGTAATAAATATAATTTTTTAATATATAATTTTTAATATGGACATAATGTATAATATAATATTATTATATATATTTCTTGGATATATGTGTGTGTATATATATATATATCACTTGCTAGAGCTCCAGTAGAGAATTAACCCAGCTGTTTAGTTCTCTGCTTTCCTCACATTTGTGCCGAGCACAATGACAAATGTCTGTGGGCAGAGCTATGAATGTTAAGCCCATACACATTATGTAGAATGAGTTTCAGTATATTTTGCGGAGCCAGCAAATATTTTCAATTAATTCTTCCTTGATATAATCTTTGAAATAAAATGTGTTTGTCTGTTTTCCCTGTAGGACTTGACTACCAATCCTGCCCTACATCTGAAGATTGTGAAAACAATCCTGTGGATTCTTACTGGAAAAGTGCATCCATCCAGGTAATCATGGGATGGCTGGCTGGGTGACTGAGCAGGTGTGGGATCTGTGAACAGGGGACAGAAGGGTTCAGAGGCTGGGCCATTGGGTCATTACTAAACTTCTCTGAGTCTCAGTTTCTACCTTTGCAACATTCTGATTCACGCTCTCTGCTCCATAAAGGGGTGAGGATTTAAGAAGCTAAAATGCTTAATGCAATGCCTGGTATAGAGAAAAAATTCTGAATGTTAGCTCCAGAAGAAGGTATTAAACAGTCATTATTACTCTGGTGTTGTGGTTGTTGTTAGTAGTTCAAATCAATGTGATTTTGATTGAGGTGTGAAGTGGGGTAACCCCTGCTTTATAGGAGAGCCTGGGACCCCTAAGATCTAGATGTGGGCGTCAGAGATGTGCACAAGGTTGATACTAACTGAAGAGGAGGCAATAGGAGACCAGGGATAAGCTGGAGACAAAGAAATGATCCCCTAAATGTGGGTCTGTTTCTCAGAGGATATTGTCACCAGAGTTGATGATAGCTATCGGTAGCTATAACATGCCAGTGACTACAGCTTACATTTTCTGTCACCAGTGTTAGACCAAAGATTCCAAATAAAGAGGGTGCAGTCCTTAGCTCAAGTATTGAGCAAAGCAGTCAACTATTAACTGTTAGCTGTATTGACTAGGAGGCTGGTGGATGTCAGGTCCTTCTACCCACGGCCACCAAGCTCCTTTCAGGGCTCTCTGTGTCTCTTCTGGTCCTACTTCCTGCTCTGGACCACCAGGTGTCCGCTGGGTCCACTGTTAATCAGGGTGAGCGAGACTTTGGTCAAATCCTCCACCACAGCTGCAGTTTGGAACTAAGCAGAGGGCACGCTCCAGACAGAAGCATTCTTATTCCTGTGCTCTCCTGCCAGCTCCGGTCGGAGCCCTCCATCCATGCCCACTCCCCACAGGTTCTGCTTGGACTGCAGGCTCCAGGCAGCTGGCAGTGAGCTGCCCGAGCCCCTCAGTGAGGAGTGGGAGGTGGTGGATGCATCATCACTTGAACGTGGGATCATAACGACAACTTGGGGGTGATGTCAACATTATATGTTAAAAAAAACAAACCGTATTCTCCCCAGCAGATCTGCCCAACTTCAAAGTGTGCCGGAAGCCACCATCTTATACTTCCTTCAACTCTAGAATGGGAATCTAATAATCATGCCCACATTTTATGAGCCCTTAGAATACGCTGGATGGTCTGAACATGAGGAGAGGTAGTCTAGTATAGTGACGAGGAGAGGGTCTGAACTATAGCAAATAGGTATTCAATAAATGTTAAGTATTATTTTAAGTGATTTGATCTTTACAATCCTATGGGGTAGGGACTCTTATTACCCTTGTTTTACAGATAGGAAAAATGAGGCACAGAGAGGCCAAGAAACTTGATCAGACCTATTACCCAGCTACTAAGTGCAGCAGCCAGAAACCACATTTTCGACCATGACTTCATAGAGCCTCACTGTATCTGCACGCATGTTTTTAATGAAAAAAAATTTTTATCATCAATGTAATAACTGCTCAGGATAGAGAATGACAAATTATAGAAAGTATAAATAAGAAAACTAATCATCCATATTCATGCTACCTAAGGGCAAATAGTGGTCATCAGACCTTGACATTTGCAGATTGAACTGAGACTGTTAGCCTACTTGGAAGCAATCTGAGACAGGCGTGGCACGGAGTACATTGTTGCTTTGTTGCGGCTGGCATTCGGTGTGGCTCTGCCGGGCATGTGTCACAGAGCTGTGTGATACCCCCTGCCATCGCCCCCACCCGGCTTCACACTAGAATAAACGTTTTATCAGGGAAATTATATGCTCCAGTAGTGTTCTCAGCTGGAGATTTGGGAACTTCTCTGGACCTGTCTGTTCCTTGGGAATCTCAGGGACAGACAGGTCCAGAGAATATTGACTAGTATTCCCAGACTTCTGCCTATTTATTTATTTATTTATTTATTTATTTATTTTTGCTGTACTCGGGCCTCTCACTGTTGTGGCCTCTCCCGTTGCGGAGCACAGGCTCCGGACGCGCAGGCTCAGCGGCCATGGCTCATGGGCCCAGCCGCTCCGCGGCATGTGGGATCTTCCCGGACCGGGGCACGAACCCGCGTCCCCCGCATCGGCAGGCAGACTCTCAACCACTGCGCCACCAGGGAAGCCATGCCTATTTATTTTTAACAGAGTGGAGCACATGCTCTGTCCACCTAGTCTTGCTTTTTGCTTTGAATGTAAGCACTTTCTATGTTATTGCATATCTTTTGTAGACTTTTATTAATGGCTGGGTAATATTTCAGACATGAAAGGGCCATAATTGACTTACCCTTCCCTGTTGTTGACTGTTTTAGACTGGTTACAAACCATGCTGCAATATACATCTTTGTGCACATCTCTGTGCACCAGGTGATCCTTCGTGCTGTTTACCAAGTATTTCTGGCTCATCTTCTGAGCATGTGGTTTGCACTCATTCTGTCTCTTGAAGTTACTTACGTGTGACTTACACTGGCCAATAGGATGTGAGTAGGAATGACTGTGTGACATCTGGGTGGAAACCTTTAAGAACTGGTCTGTGATTTGCCACTTTCTTCTCCCTTTCCTGATAACCAGTGACTCTGCATTTGTGGAAACTGCATCAGCTTGGGTCCCAGAGCAAGGACATATGGAGCAAAACCCAAACCCCAAATCCAAACACTTGTGATAAACATGTAGTGTGTGCATGAAATAAATCTTTCTTGTTTAAAGCCACTGTGATTTTGAGGTTGCTTGTAATGCCAGCATAAGTTAATGTACACCAGCTGAAACAATGCTGGAATCTGATACTGGTTTGCATTATTTTATAATGGTAGATTCCCGGGCATGGAATTACTGCGTTTTTGACATTTCAAAGCAATTTGCTTTCCAAGATATGCCAGTTTGCATCCCTCTGGCTCTATGAAATACCAAATTTATCCCATCCTCGCCAGTATTGAAAATTGTCGATTTAAAAAACAATTGACCATTTCATAGCTTAAAAATGACAGCTTACTCAAAATGCTTGTTTCTTTTTGCAGTATGCAAAGGATAGTTCTGGGGTGATCAATGTCATGCTGAATGGTTCAGAGCCAACAGGAGCCTATCCTGTAAAAGGGTAAGAATGCAGCACCAACATGTAAGACAAAGATGCCAAAATGTGTTTTTAGTTGTTTTCAACGGAGGCTTAAGAGAATCATTCACATCCCCAGTCTAATGCTTGCTTCTGTAAGATCAGGTAGAGAAAAACAATTGAATGACCTGGAGATCAGAACTATGTCCATACATTTATAAAACTAACAGCTGATGAATGCCTGAATGAAATAAGTAACCTAAAAATTAAAGCTAAAAAGTGCCTCCCGCAAAGCTTTAAAACAAAAGTAATGTGTAAGTCAACTAACATTGATATGGGAACAGTATCATATTGCTTTAGGACTTTAAGAAATGTCTTTCCTGTTTCTCAGGTTTTTTGCAGATTTTGAAATTCCCCACTTACAGAAGGATAAAATCACACGCATTGAGATCTGGGTTATGCATGAAATCGGGGGAACCAATGTGTAAGTTATGATGCTACTGATCTTTGTGCAAACCTGCTTTTCTTGGATGTAGTATGATCCAGTCTGATTTACATTTACATTTCTGGGGAATCAATGGTCTTCTCTGTTTCTAATGTGGTGGGCAGAGAAAGGCAAAGGCTTGACTTTCTGGAAATGCCATGAGTCAGTCCTGAGCCCAGAGAGAAAACCTCCTTTATCCAGATACTCCTCTCAGCCTTTCTGAGTAGGTCATTTGTGTAGGTCAAAGCCAGTTTTTCTCCCTGGTCATTTAAAGCTCAAAAGCCTCACTGGGAGTTCACAGAATGGACTCATGGATCATGTAATGAAGACGTTCTTCTCAGAGAACAACCAGTTTCGCAGCTGGGTCTCAGGTAACTGGCCAAGGAAATATTTATGATCCATATTTTTCTCGGAAGCCGCTAACTCAAGTGGTTATATCAACTCAGATATCAAGCAAACTTGAACTCATCCTTCTCATCAACAAAGGGCAGTGCTGGCAAAACTAAAGATAAAAAACGTAAAGCCAGTTGGCTCAGAGACAAGCCAATAAGGCCAAGCCTGGTAAAAGCTGTGCAGCCGTGATGGTGCTTCAGAAGCAGCTGGGGCCCTGTCCTTCAGAGCATTGAATCTACATTGGGGAAAGCGTTGAGTGGATGTGTTATTGAAAGAATGTTCTGGAAGAATCTTAGCAAATTCCCCATTTCAGGCCGCCAGGACCCCCTAAGACTCACCATATAATGAGTGATATTTTTTTTTCTCTTGGGCCGAAGATTAAATTTGCAAATGACTTATTACATAGTCATACCAGAATCTGCTCCTCTCTTCCCAGAAGACAACTTATACCTATTGTTGCATGAAAAACAATGTGTATTGTTTTTCTTGTTTCTGTGAGAAGTCGCTTTTTGTCTAGATATTATGCTTGCTTGTTGTTTTAAGGTATCTATCAGAGAAAGATTGTTCTTTGAATCTTTTTTTTTAAAAAACATCTTTATTGGAGTATAATTGCTTTACATTGTTGTGTTAGTTTCTGCTGTATAACAAAGTGAATCAGCTATAGGTATACATATATCCCCATATCCCTTCCCTCTTGCGTCTCCCTCCCACCCTCCCTATCCCACCCTCCGTATCCCACCCCTCTAGGTGGTCACAAAGCACCGAGCTGATCTCCCTGTGCTATGCGGCTGCTTCCCACTAGCTATCTGCTTTACATTTGGTAGTGTATATATGTCAATACCAGTCTCTCATTTCTTCCCAGCTCATCCTTCCCTCTCCCCATGTCCTCAAGTCCATTCTCTACATCTGCGTCTTTATTCCTGTCCTGCCCCTAGGTTCTTCAGAACTATTTTTTTTTAGGTTCTATATATACATGTTTGCATACGGTACTTGCTTTTCTCTTTCTGACTTACTTCACTCTGTATGACAGACTCTAGGTCCATCCACCTCACTACAAATAACTCAATTTCGTTTCTTTTTATGACTGAGTAATATTCCATTGTATATATGTGCCACATCTTCTTTATCCATTCATCTGTTGATGGACACTTAGGTTGCTTCTATGTCCTGGCTATTGTAAATAGTGCTGCAATGAACATTGTGGTACATGACTCTTTTTGAATTATGGTTTTCTCAGGGTATATGCCCAGTGGTGGGATTGCTGGGTCATGTGGTAGTTCTATTTTTAGCTTTTTTTTTTTTTTTTTTTTTTGCGGGCGCGGGCCTCTCACTGTTGTGACCTCTCCTGTTGCGGAGCACAGGCTCCGGACGCTCAGGCTCAGCGGCCATGGCTAACGGGCCTAGCCACTCCACGGCACGTGGGATCTTCCCGGACCAGGGTACAAACCTGTGTCCCCTGCATCAGCAGGTGGACTCTCAACCACTGCGCCACCAGGAAAGCCCTATTTTTAGCTTTTTAAGGAACCTCCATACTGGTCTCCATAGTGGCTGTCTCGATTTACATTCCCACCAAAGTGCAAGAGGGTTCCCTCTTCTCAACACCCACTCCAGCCTTTATTGTTTCTAGATATTTTGATGATGGCCATTCTGACCAGTGTGAGATGATATCTCATTGTAGTTTTGATTTGCATTTCTCTAATG